ACCTCCCCAACACCCCAGCTCTGGGGGCCCTGGTGCGCTGCCCAGCCCAACCCCCACATCACTCACAGCTCCTGCTCACCGCCATCTGCATGGGTGGCTAGGGGCACAGCCACACCTCCCCCTTTTCCCCTAGTTCAGCATTTCCAAGGCGAGAGCTCTTACACTCAGTAAATGAGGGGTGCAGCAGTTGGGGTTTTGGGGGGCAGCGATCCACCCAGGAAGGGATCTCTTGCTTTCGGTCAGCTATGGAACTAAATTTGGGTGTTGTGGAAGGAGAAAACTGCAATCTGCCTTTGACCAGCGAGTGGTGATGTGTTATTACTCCTCCCTGTCCCACACAGGCAGCGCTCAGGAACTCGTGGAGTGGGTGTGAGGCAGAATCCCCCCAGCACGGGACAGAACCAGCAGCACCAGCTGAATTCTTTCCCGTATGCAGGGGATTGGGGTCCTCTCTAACCACAATTCATCAGTGGAAGCAAGCCAGCAGGTCTGGCCTCCACGGGGGGAGACTGCCCAAAGATCAGGACCTGGGAGCTGCCGGGAAGGTGCTGAACCCCCCAGTCAAGGATGCACTGCTACACCAGCCGACACTACAGCTGTCGGAGTCCAGAGAGCTCTATTTTCAACAGGGACAGAAGTGCTAGATGAAATGTTCTGGTTTCATACCACACTCATGCACTCACGCACACCTCAAAACTACTTTTTTTTTTTAACAAAACCGATAAAGTAAAAAAAAAAAGTACTACAATCTTCTTTCAACTAAATAACAAAGTTGTGTTTTAAGAGAAGTCACCATCCAACTCAAACAATTCCTCTACGACATTACGGGATTCAAGTGATCCCTTTGGCTTGTCACATTTCTTTGCTCTGTACCCACCCACGTCTAGTTCTGTTCTTAGAGACATCCACTCCTCTCCATTATTTTTCATACAATGCACTTACTGTACTTCAGAACAAGGCTGATTCTATTTGCATGTATCTTTAAGGGTCAGATTCTGGGTGAAACGCTTAAATTTTGTTACAGAATTATTTGAATGTCATTAGGGCTTTTCCAGCCCTTTGCAGTGACACAGACGTACAGGCACTCGGCTCGCTGGACAGTACCTGAGGGACAGGAATTTTGTTCCTACCCGGCTGAGTTACTCCAGCAGCCTGAAGGACAGAGGCGAGGCAGGAGAATCCCAAGTTGAAACTCAGCAAAAGGACGTGCTTAGACCCACTAGGTAAACAATAAATAAGCTTAGTAAGGAGTGAAGCAATGAGGTGCACATCACGCAGTCCCCCTTACCCATCTCATCTAAACACGCACCATCATTTAGGAAACGTAACTTGTTAATTCTTGCAGCAGCAGGAGGGAAATGGAGAGCTCCATGCCTTGCTGGTCCCAGTCACCCAGCCCTTCCGTCCACCCCCAGGAGCATCAGCATCACTGTGTCCAGAATAAGCTCTCCAAAGAGAGCAAAAGAGGAGGAAAAAAACCCCACCGCCTCCTGAATCGCATTCTGTGGAAGGCAGCCTTCTCCACCAAGAGGGGAGGGTCATGAAGAGGAAGGGCTACCCCAGGTTTTGCCACACCAACACTCTTCTCTTGGCTGACTGCAGCTATTACTAGCACTCACAATTAGATCAGAGAAGTTAAAAAGGCTTCCTCAAGTTCAAGGCAACAGCAGTGGTCCTTACAACCATTTCTTTCTTTCCCCACAACGGAAAACAGTTACCTGCAGGCAAGAGGTTGTGTTGGCAACAGCACTGGGAGGTTATTTTTGGAAGAGTACTTGTGTGGGCTGCTGTGCTTTTGAGACCTCTAGATTTTTAGGTATACATGAAAAGGGAAAGGACATCTCAAGACTGGGACTGGTAGACTTCTAGTCATGAAAAAAAAAAAAAAATGTTGTCATTGGCAGTGGCAGGAGGCCCCATTTTAAGATAGGAAGAGATAACGATGCTCAACGACAAGATGCCCTGGACCCTTTGCCAGTGTCCTATGTTTGAAAGGTGGGTGCGTGCCCTTACAGTGACCAAAGGCATTTGAGGGAATCAGGCAGAAATTTATTTAGTATCCCACCTTTGCTGCAGAGGGCCTCCAGACACATACCGATAACACCATCCCAGAGCACTCGCACCAAAACACAATTCCCAGGTGAGCCTGCTGATGTAGCCAGAAACACCACCGATCGCAGACCGCAGACTCCTAACGCAGTGCTCCAGGCACCCTTACCTTAACCTTCTCTAAATTAAAAAGCAAAAAAACCAGAAAGCCTTATATCTGAAAGTAAGGAAAGTCACCTTCAGAGCTGAACAGGGTTTACATTCAGAACTATGGCTACAAATGTACAATGTTCACTGCAATGTCTTTTGGAATTTAGTGGAAGATGCTATGTCTAGACAATAAACCATCTAATTAGGCTTTTCAAGCTAATCAGGTTACAAAATGCCTTTTCAAAAAACCACAAGTTTAAAAAGAGCCCTCCGATAGCAATGCAATTATGCCTGATAGATGTTTTGAGAAGCAGGACACGTGCCAAGCAAGCGAGGCTGCACAAAGATCCCACCTCCCTCGCCAACAGCTCTGCGAACACACCCATCTCTCCAGCAGTCATTCCAGCACTCTGCCAAGTGCAACAACACACACTTGTAATTGCCAAACTAACATTTGCGGTGTTATACACCTGTGCTACCTCAAGAGACGCAATCAACTGCTCCTCTTCTGCTCCACTTCACATTGCCAGAAGGCCAGTTAAGCTCTGTTAGCACCAGGGGAGTGAGAGAAAGAATTCAAGCTTAATTTCTGTTCTACCTACCCACTTAACTGCAATCCTGCCATGCACTAATTCTCCACTGAACCTTCATTGCTCAGAATTCCTCTACCATTTGCCTCGTGTTCATAATACTTTGACACAAAACCAGAAGCATTTGTGAAGGACTCACTAGCAGAGTAAGTCTAAAACCGCATAACTCATTTGCTGTCCATCCTCAGAGTGGGATGAAGGTGCGTTTGCAAAAAGCTTCAGTTGCAGCAAAAACTCACAGTATTTTGGATACGCCGTTCTGTACATGCAGCATCAGCAGAATCAGCTGCTCCACAGTCCATAGTGTCTCAGAACCGCCTCCACTGTTCTTCTAGAGAGCAATGCGGAGAACTGGCAATGTCAGGTCTGACCTAGCAGTGCACTAAGTGGGAAAATAAAGTTAGGGTTCAAGCATCAGCCTAAGTTGGACAGTTTCAGGCACATGATTCTTAGGGCAGCACATGCAGGTGAGCACATCTAAAAGGCAAATAAATTATACCCTACTTACACACGGATTCTCATGCAGCCACCTCTACGTTTCACCCCAAGCCTGTGGCTTATGCCCTCCATACCTCCTTGTACTTGAGGAACAAGGATGATGGTAAGAAGAGGCCACAACTACTGGTGCAGCTATTCTAAAACACCTTCTTTGGTCTCTCAGGTGTGAGTATCAGGTTCTGGAAGTGTAACTACATATAGTGTGACGGTAACAATGAGAAAGCCACTTCCCTCGAAGATCCAGATGTTTCTGCCTTTCACACACCACTAACACCCTCCCATCCGCTGCTGCTTGGCCTTCTGGACCAGCACCTGCACCTACACTCCAGAAAACGCCAGTTGCTATCACTATCAATTGCGGTTGTGGAAATGAAAACCACTCTTCAGTGCTACCATTCAAACCATGAAGTCCTGGACGAGCCCGTTACCAACCAGTGCACTATCCCACAAGTGACCGTTTCACTGACAGCACGTTGAGCATTCAGACGCTTTCTGCATGACTGGCAGAGCACTGTGTTGCCAGTGCATCAATACTATGTGTGGGTAGTTAATTCGGAAGGGTAATAGCTTAGCAGCAATGAGGTAAAATAAAAGGAGTGTTAGAATTTTACTGTATCGTCACTAATAAAAACGTTGACTGAGTAACTGATCAGGGCACTTCATGCCCGCCAACAGCAGCACTGAACACTACTGACAGGCTCTATGTGCCTCGCGTCTACACCGTTGTGTTTCACCTACTGAGATACAAGTTGTACAGTTCACGTGAGTATTTGATCCTGGCCTGTATTTTATTCTATCTTGCAAGTGGCAGAGGAAGAAAAGGAGGACATCTTTTCAGCCAAATAAATCCACAGTCACAAAAGCAGGATATTCACTAGGAGATGACACCAGTGACTGGTGTCCTTAGGTTGTCCAAGACTATGCTCTGAAGATGCTTTACATAAGATGAGCAACACGCCCAAAACAAGGCCAACTGTGGTGTAAGATGCAATTTACCCTTTCATTTCCTGCCTCAATTTCACCCAGCCACAGAGGATGACTAGATTTTGGTATGAACCATTACCTAAATCATATAGTCGGTATGCAGATATATGTCTTTCTTTAAAAATTTACTTAAAAACTGCTTGAGCTGCAGGTCATATCAGTCTGATTTGGAGAGCGAAGGCAGTTCCAACAGTACAATAGAGACTTGTCTACAGGCAGGTAAATGAGAGTCTGCTAACAAAGGGGTAACAAAAGCTGCTGGCTGGGCTGCCAGTGTTGCGCACCAACTTTCATAGGATGAAGAGGCTGTGGATGAGATCCAGGATGGGAAAACTGAGCCAACACCTGCTGCTGTTCTGAATTTTTTTTTTTTTTATTCTCCTCTCACGAGAGGGGGTGGGTAGACTATACAGAGGAGGGCTGTACAAAACTGGGCACTGGGCAGGCATTTCTTCAGCAGGCAATCCAGGCTCTACCTGTCCTTGAGCTCTCTTGTCACCCGCTTTGTGATGCGTCCACACATCAGGCCAATGAGGAAGAGTACACAGATGCCGACTGTGATCACAGATAGAATGTAATTCTTGGACGGAGAGGTCATAACTTGCATGGCAAGGTCAGAAAAGCCTTCTGCTGGGGCAACCTGGAGGTGAGAAGGGAATAAATGAGCCAAGCTGCCCTTTCCATGGGACCCTCAGCCTTGGCATTTATCAGGTTTAGCCTCTGGTACTGATATTGCCTCCTGTCAACGTCAGACCTGTTCTGAACCACAAACAAGCCGGCCTGCAATGATTCATCTGAAGGAACTGCTGCTCAGGAGACAGCTTTATGCCAGGAAGTTCTGCTGACCCTGTTTCATTGCCCCACACCTTCTGTACAGGAGGCCGAGCCCTGCATGCAGGAAAGTCAGTTTAATTCTGCACTGTTGAGGACGTATCCCAGACACTGAGAGAGTAAGAGATACAAGTTCAAAAAAGGAGACCTGATTGCAATTGTTCTCAAACTCAAAATGCTAAACTTCATTCACAGACAGGAGTTTCATTACAGGTCAAATTTTTCACAAATTGCTTGCAACAGAAAGATCCAACAGATACCTTTGCGGCATAGCTCCACATTTCAATACGATCATTAAGGCGTTTCTTGCATTCGGGCTGCAACCTCACGCGCTTATCTTCCAGGGCTTCCATTAAGCACGACATTTCTGTAAAGCACAGAGGATGGTGTTACAAAATAGTAACAGTGGCTTCAACAACATGCTATGGAAAGGCTCTTGGAAAGGGACACTTCAATGCCCATAAAGGCCGATTGTTACGCAGCTTTCCACACAGACTAGCCAGCCTGAGAGATTCTATACAAAGCCCTGCTGTACCCTTGAAGCTCGTCATTTCACCAAGATCCATGACTAATATTGAATTTTGAGGTGCAAGGAATTTTTGACTTCCAAAAGGACATTACAGTACAGGTCCAAGATATGTGATCTACATAAGATTTTATGAAGTCTTATAAATTTCCACCTTCAATGAGCTGTACTGTAAATTCCAGGCCACCACCCTGTAGAGAAAACTAAGATCTAATTCAGCTCAGGAAAAAACAGTGTTATCTCCTTAGGCTCGTTAGGAGTTTCTTTTGATCAACAAGATGTTTTGGAAAGGTTTAACTTCCTGAGTTTTCACACAGTCCTGTGAAAAGGAAAGGGGATCACAATGCTCTGGGTGCCAACCGAGGGGCTCGGCTAACTCACAAGCTCTTTTATATGCTCATACGAGACACCAGCATTTTGCATTTTCTATTTATGCTACCTTACTTGAATCATCCCTAATTGGATGCTTCTGCCTCAAAGTGAAGAGTTATTTTGTTCATAGCAAACAGGCTGCAAACTTTAAACTAACTCCTGACTTTTTAAACACAATTGTCAGTTCCAACCCTCAGAGGCAGATCCCTCTCTAAGCTACAGGCTCCTGCCTACCTTCGGTGCAAACATGTCAGAACACACATCAAAAGAATTATGACAAAACAGGAATAAATAAAGGATATCCAGATTTTCAGGAAGGCATTCAGTAAGCAGCAGGAAAGATAATGATCAGGAGAATAGTTGGCTGCTATTTTTAATGCCAAACTCAGAAAGCTGGGAAAGTTCAGAACTTTTTTCCCCGCTAGCTTTCCTTAAACAGCCATACATACTACCCAGCCAGATAACGTAACAGCAGTAACAAAGTGCAGGAGCTTGACCTCAAACAGGAAAAAAATGGGTGAGGAAATACTTAAATAAATGATGTTTCAAGTGGTCTGAACC